ATGTTTGACGGTTTAGGACCGTTAAACGGCCCTCTTTCACCGTTTAGTTAAACCTCTAATCTAAACCGAGTTTAACGTTAAACCGCAGTGGTGCAATGCATTAAACTAAGCTTACAGCTTTAAACGCCAGTTTAAGCTAATCTACAGTTTAAACCATGATTGAACAACCGGGCCTTAAACGTTTAAAATCCTATCGTCCCTATTGGTAAACCCTTTAGCATAAAATTAGGAAACAATTCGGTTCATTCCGCTTTCACTGATGTCTCATTGTTGCAGTCAAAACTTGGAAAAATACTGATTTAGAATATTTTTTGAAGAGTTTATGTAACCCGTATTTAAGCCTCTCTTTGAAACAAATATATCTTTTTACTCCTTCTTATAGATCAGCAATAATTCCAAAGTTATTTAATAAATTGAAATACATTTATTTAAAAGTAAACATTGAAGTTGGCCTATTTCAAACAGACACAAAAAAGAAACAAACAACCTATAATTCCTACTAACTATATATTAACGAAAATACCACTAAATTTAAATAACCCTACCTTAAAAATGTGAGGATTATGTACATGTAAAAACCAAGGACGAACAAAATATATTGAAAACTGTAAAAGTAGTTAAGACATTGGACGGACAAACGGACGGTCAGACCGACGGATCACGGACGGACAAAGAAAGTGCTTACAATAGCATACCCAATTTCGTCGGAAAATGCGCTCAAAATATACATCAACCCGCGAACATAGCGCGTGTAATTAGACAAAGGGGTCTAATTAGAAACTCGCAAAGATTTGTTAAAATAAGAATTTATGGTATTATCATTAAATTAAAAATAAACCGATGTATTATCTACGATTTCATTATAAATTTAAATTATAGCGAGTTTGACATTACCCTCGAAAACTTGTGGTAACAAGGAAAACTTTCACCGAGGATGTGTTTGCACAAAAGACGATGTTTTAGCAGGAGGTCTCACTGAACTGAAATGATTGTTAAAAGTTCCATTTAATTAAGAGAATTTTTAATGGCGATGGGTAAACAATAGATAGACCATTGAGAAAGAAAAACTAAGTTTCGTCGCGGGAACTGCAAATGGATTGCCTTCATGCACAGTAGAATGTATGACATTCATACAGGCAACCAAATCATTAATAATATACTAGAAACTGTTGTAACAATTATCATATTCAAATAGAAATAGCTAAATAAGGCTTAGCTACTCAAGTAGACCATTGATTATGTACTTAATCAACGTCACCTTAGTCTTAGTATCCGTTGGAGTGAACAGGGGGGTGGGGGAGGGGGTTTGACAGAAGTTTATCACAAAGCCAAATGCTTTTATGATCTAACGTCTTAGGCCAGTATGATAATGACATTCGTAACATATTGTCGCGAACATTCCAGAAATTTCGATAGACATCGAGGCGCGGTGAAAGATTAGTCTTCGGCGATAAAGAACAATGGTGGATGTGACGTAATTTTTCTTCGAAATATGACGTGTTTTGTTATAGAACATTCGAACAGACCCGCGAACACTAGAGAACTATCGACTTTACTATATAACCAAATGGAATTGCTTTTCCGTTTAGTTCCATCTTCAAGGCGCGTGCTATGTTATAAATTGTAACTGATAAATAATAATTACTGTTATAAATGAATCCATTTTAAGACTGTTATAAA